TCGTGAGCCAATTCAATAAACTTCACAACCAAAAGCAATATAAAATCATAGTCACACACCTGTATCTCCCCCCTTTCAATTGCCCCTAAACGTGCCTACCATATCCACAATACTTTCGAAACAATAAATCACGTAAAAAAAAATTAACGAAATTTGAAAAAAAAAACTTACGCAGAAGGTCTACAGCATTGGGCTTTGGAGTATATAAGACGAGGCAGTTCTGTTTCTTGGCGCAGGTTTCAGCATCAAGACCAGACTCGCAGATTGTCTCATCTGGAAAATATATTTGTATGTTTTGTACTTTGATTGATCTATTTATTTATTGTTCTTATCGTTGTTCTTGTTGTTTGTTATTATTATTCTCCTTATTATTGTTGTCATCATCAGCAGTAGTTTTATGATTATTATTATCATTTTTATTACTATTAATTTTGTCATCATTATTACCATCATTATCATTATCATAATTTTAACTATTATCATTATTATCATTATCATTCATTGGACTTCTTCCATTGAGCCTCTTCCATGAAGATAATATCGGACTAACTCACACACACACACACACACACACACACACACACACACACACACACACACACACACACACACACACACACACGCACACACACACACACACACACACACACACACACACACACACACACACACACACACACACGGGCACAACACACACACACACACACACACACACACACACACACACACACACACACACACACACACACACACACACACACACACACAACAACAACAACAACAACAATACCAACGAAAGGAATCAAACAAAAAACAATGAAATAAAACTCACTATCCACACGCGGACCGAATCCAGGAGGAGGAATCTGAAGCTCGAACATACACTCGGCTACATCCGCATGGCAATTGGTCTGTTCCTTCTCCTTCCCGGCACACAACTGGAGAACTGTACGGGAGAGAGGAAGGAGGAAGAGAGGAAGAGAAGAAGGAGGGAGAGAGGAAGGAGGGAGAGAGGGAGAGAGGAAGGAGGGAGAGAGGTAGGAGGGAGGAGGGAGAGAGAAAGGAGGAAGAGAGGAAGAGAGGAAGAGAGGGAGGAGGAAGAGAGGGAGGAGGAAGGAGGGAGAGAGGGAGGAGGGAGAGTGGGAGGAGGGAGAGAGGGAGGAGGAAGAGAGGAAGAGAAGAAGAGAGGAAGAGAGGAAGGAGGGAGAGAGGATTGGGCTGTTAGTCATGGCAAGGATTTGTTTCCGACTAGCCTATATTATTTATTTATTTATTGGTCTGTTTGTTCATTTATCATCATCATTACTATTATTATTATTATTATTATTATTATTATTACCATTATCATTATTATCATTATTACCTAAGATGTTGTTGGTAATCTCAGCGATGAAGCCGAGAGGGTCCGTTCTCGGTGCTTCATTCTCAGTCCCCCCCAGCACGGTATTCTGTGGCAAACCTGGCTCGAAGCTCTGTGACTCCTCTGACACGAAGCCCTGTGAAGCCTCTGGAGATAATGTACTCAAAGCGTTCTTGAAGTGTTCTACGCACTCACTCAATTCGGCATTGCAGGTAGTATTGTCAGCACAAAAACCTAAAAAGAACAACAACAAAAAAAAATTATAACTTCCACGTATTTTGTTGCGAGAGTCTTTGTAATTGCACATGGGTTATGTACAATACGTGCTTATATCATTGTTTAGTGTCTCTTAGTTTCGTTCGGACCGGAATCATTCTGATCTTATTGCAGTTTATATCATTCTTCTTCTTGTCCATATTATTGCTGTTATTGCTATATCCCTATTATTATCATTGTTAATAAGTATAGGCATTAGGATCATTATAATCATTATTTCATTGTTATCATTATTGTTATTATCATTATCATCTTATTTTTTGTCATTATTGTTATTATTATAATTTTATTTTTCGCCTTTATTATCAATTTTATTATATCTTCGTCATTATTATTATTACTATTATAATTTCTTGTCATTATTATTATCATCACTATTATCATCATAACTGTCATTTCATCATTATAGTTATTATCATTACTATTATCATCAACATTTTCATAATTTAAAACCAGGCTTAGGCTTAGATAAGAAAATTACACAGTTTTTTCTCTTTGTCTCTCATTTCCTCTTTCTCTTTCCCTCTCTCTCTCTCTCTCTCTGCCTTTCTCTCTCTCTCTGCCTCTTCTCTCTCTCTCTGCCTCTCTCTCTCTCTCTCTCTCTCTCTCTCTCTCTCTCTCTCTCTCTCTCTCTCTCTCTCTCTCTCTCTCTCTCTCTCTCTCTCTCTCTCCCTCTCTCTCTATCCCCCCCTCTCTCTCTCCATCTATATATATTTCGCTCCCTATATCTATATATCTATCCAACCATCTATCTGACTGCATGTCTGTTCCTGTTTATATCAACGTATATGTATAACGGCCTAAATACATATATATATATATTTTTTTTACCTATATTCCATTCTATCTGTGTTTATCTCACAT